CCCTGGCTTCATCAGTAGCCTGCCTCTACTCTGTCTCTTGGACATCGCCACAAGGCTTCAGCCCCTGATTCTGGACTGCTCTCTCCCACAGCCTCTCCCAGCTCACTAAGCCCTGTTACCACTTCAGCTTCCAACACCAATTCTTCCAGTCTTCTCCCCATCCTCCCTGTGACCACTCATCATTGTCCCACCACCAATTCCCTGGCTCGGAGGCTTCTTCCCTTGGACGTTCTCCAACTGGTTCCTCCCACCGTTCCTCTGCATCCAACCAGTTCATGCTATCTGACTCGCTTTATGCCAGCTGCTTGTGCATAGGGATGCTTGCCACGTCCATCCAAATGTTTTTAATCAATTTCTGCAACTGATTAGTCCACTAAATGTTGCAACCCTGGGTTTTTTTTCTGTTCAGGAGAGGTGGTTCCAATCTGTCCAGAGAAGTGGTGAGGACCAAGCTGCCAATACATCAGCCCCTAAAACTTTTAAGGGCTTGTTTAATATTCACTACGTAGCTATCTGGAAGGTCAGGGTGTGCTTTGGAAAGGTCATTCCACAAATATGCCTGCATATTCTCTAGGCCCTTACTTCAGTGTTCAATAATGCAACAGGATTATGATAATGATCCTGTTTTATGGCTTCTCTAATCTCGGCGGAACTCAAATAGTTTTTTACAAACTGACATTCTCTATAAAAGATGAGCCTGGGATTCGGGGCGCAGCAAACAAGGTAGTCATACTAAACCAGCCATATCTGACTAACTGACTAGTAACGCCAAAGTAATGCAGCAGAGCAAAAGAAGAACCAGACTCTTCCGTAATAACGTTCTAAAAGTTCAGAAATTACTCCAGGAGACCATTCCCCAACCCCTGCAAACTGCTGCTGGGGCCAGCAAAGGCAGGAAAGGAACTGATGGCTTGTAGCCAACTATTACTCAGACCCACTGAAGTTAATGGACCTAAGTTGTTGTTGTTTAGCTGTGTCCGACTCTTTCATGACCCCATGGACCAGAGCACGCCAGGCCCTCCTGTCTTCCACTGCCTCCCGCAGCTTGGTCAAACTCATGTTCGTAGCTTCGAGAACACTGTCCAACCATCTCGTCCTCTGTCGTGCCCTTCTCCTTGTGCCCTCCATCTTTCCCAACATCAGGGTCTTTTCCAGGGAGTCCTCTCTTCTCATGAGGTGGCCAAAGTATTGGAGCCTCAGCTTCAGGATCTGTCCTTCCAGTGAGCACTCAGGGCTGATTTCCTTCAGAATGGATAGGTTTGATCTTCTTGCAGTCCATGGGACTCAAGAGTCTCCTCCAGCACAATAATTCAAAAGCATCAATTCTTCAGCGATCAGCCTTCTTTATGGTCCAGCTCTCACTTCAATACATCACTACTGGGAAAACCATACCTTTAACTATATGGACCTTTGTTGGCAAGGTGATGTCTCTGCTTTTTAAGATGCTGTCTAGGTTGTCATTGCTTTTCTCCCAAGAAGCAGGAGTCTTTTAATTTCGTGGCTGCTGTCACCATCTGCAGTGATCATGGAGCCCATGAAAATAAAATCTCTCACTGCCTCCGTTTCTTCCCCTTCTATTTGCCAGAAGGTGATGGGACCAGTGGACCTAAGTTAGCCTTGTCTAAATCGGGTCAGGGGATCTACTGTGCAGATAACTAGCACTGAATACAATGCACAGTGTTTTGACAACCCTGCCACTGTCGAACAGGAGGGCAGTGCCCCAAATCTGCCTTCCTGCTAAGAATACCCCCCCCCAATAAACCTATTCAAAATCCTCTTCCACTGATTTTGAAAGCAATTCTTCTCTAAATATTCTTTGGGTATGCACTTATACATTGAACATTCTGCAAGAGGCTGTGTCCTCATTTGACATCCAAAGAGTTTTGCAACAAGGGATGGAAGAGGAATTTGTTCTAAATGGATTACTATATGGAACCTAACAGTTCTGACCAATTGAGCTTTGCACGCATCCGATCCCCTCATGCGCCAGACTCCTGCTGATGTCTGAGCTGCTCATGCCTTGTCAGGTAGAGCACTGACCTCCGGGAAAAACCTGGAGGAGAGCAATATATGAATTTAAATATATAGATCAGGGGTAGGCAACCTAAGGCCCAATCGCCTTCTCAGTCCGGCCCGCGGACGGTCCGGGAATCAGCATGTTTTTACATGAGTAGAATGTGTCCTTTCATGTAAAATGCATCTCTGGGTTATTTGTGGGGCCTGCCTGGTGTTTTTACATGAGTAGAATTTGTGCTTTTATTTAAAATGCATCTCTGGGTTACAGTGGTACCTCGGGTTAAGTACTTAATTCGTTCCGGAGGTCCGTTCTTAACCTGAAACTGTTCTTAACCTGAAACACCACTTTAGCTAATGGGGCCTCCCGCTGCTGCTGCGCCGCCGGAGCACGATTTCTGTTCTCATCCTGAAGCAAAGTTCTTAACCCGAGGTACTATTTCTGGGTTAGCGGAGTCTGTAACCTGAAGCGTATGTAACCTGAAGCGTATGTAACCCGAGGTACCGCTGTATTTGTGAGGCATAGGAATTCATTCATATTTTTTTTCAAAATATAGTCCGGCCCCTCACATGGTCTGATGGACGGTGGACCGGCCCACGTCTGAAAAAGGTTGCTGATACAGATCTATGTGGCATATAATCTTCATTCTACCAACTATTGTATATGTGCTGTCTTTCTATCCTCAGTATTACCATTTCCCCTACTACTTCTCAACCACTCTGAACAGTTTTTTAAAAAACATACCTCCATTGGATTGCAGCTCACCTGACAGCATTTCTTCCAGTGATATCTTTGGCTGCACCTCCTCAGCTGGATCCATTGAAGTGGTACAAGCGGTTTGGACCAGCGCGGCACAGCTGTGGCTCATGCCAACGCAGGATGCCAACGCAGACTGCCTTAGCAATGAAGCAAGGTAAGGAGGGGGGGCAGCCTTTTATTTCAAAAGAGAGACCAGCTTTGATTTCTGTCTTCATGCTGCATGTTGAAAATGTACAGGAGAGAAACCCAAGGTATGCCACATCTTAAGGAAAAACAGTTTGCAAGTTTTGCAGAATGGTTGCAAACAAAAAGGCTGGAGGGGTCTGGCAGATGGCCGTGGCCCCTGGGGTTCTGAGCACTCCTGTCATTCAGTTTTGTTGTTTCCTGTTCCTGGATGCATCACAGCTCCCACTTCCTCCAGCGTTTGTCTGCAGCCAATGGGAGAGAGAAGGAAACCGCACTGAACATTAGCTATTTTCAAAGTTTTAAAAATTAGAGACTTGTCTGTTCTACTGTCATTCACTGAATGCAAAGTCCAAATGCTTGATCCAGCACTTCATAATGTAGAATGTTTTTCAAAGCCACTTTGGGGAACCAGCTTCCCTCCCAAGGCAAATAGCAGCTCCGGGGGAGCAATCTTCATTTTCACCCTAACGGGAGGAAATGGTTAACAGCCGCATTTGTGAAATATACTCGGAGTCGAGAGTGGATTTCATGCTCTTTATTCAGCTCATAGTGGTGAGGAGGAATGAAAGTTCCCCCAGAATGTCTGCTTTATATACATTATTTACACAATGGGCCCCATGTGATTGGCTAATTCCGGGATTCTCCTGTAGGCCAATCAGGTTGCGGATTCACTTCCACCTGGAGCAGGATTGGGTGGCTCCTGTGGACCAATCAGACTGCTGCATTCTGAATCCTATTGTTCTAGGACCAATCAGACTGCTGCATTCTGAATCCTATTCAACTCAGTACATAGCTTGCATTCTTCGTCCTATGTGTGCATGCATTAGGAAGGAGGGATAAACACATCCAAGGTGTGTTCAGGTGTATGTAGAAGCAGGGTTACAAGCTCCCCCACATGTCCTTGTGCATGACCTGCCCCCTAGTGCCTGAACTTCCCTGTGTTATGTGGGGGAAGGCTGCATTCGGCTTCTGTGCACATTTGCCTGAATGTGGGAAGATCTCGTGTAATCAGGTGCAGGAAGTGGCAGCCTCAATCCAAATCCCTCCTCCCTTCCGTTGCGTGGCTTAGCCTAAGCAAATGATAAAAGAGGGCAGAGTTCCTAGGAAGTTGCTTGGGAAATCTTTGCTCATTTTATCAAAGCAACAGCTAGCCTAGCAATCCTTCAATGGCATCGAGCAAACAGGGACTATGAAACTCGGCTAGAGTTCATTTCTTTGGTACCTCTTTGGGCAAAGTACAGGAAATGCCATTCATTCCATTGATAATGACTTTTTTCAAAAAGCCATTCATGCAAGTAGAAAGGGGTGTGTGTGCATGTGGACTGATCTGAATTTGAAACCTGGTGGATGGGGGTTAGGGTGCATCAACCTATTTCCCCCCACCCATCATAGTCTCAGTCTGGATAGGACCCCCCTCCCCTTGGCTACTTGCATTGAAAGGAAAACTCCCACTGGTGCCAATGGAAGCTCCCCCCCCCCATGCAAATTACAGGCACAGGAGTGTGGGTTGGGGAACTATTCCTGATCTTCATCAGCGATGAAAGGGTTTATCGATTATATTTATATTTATATTTATATTTATTTATGCATGTTACATTTATTTTTTTTATGTTTACCATTTCCTCCAAGAATCTCAATGCAGTGTACAGTGGTACCTTGGTTTTAAAACAGCTTAGTTTATGAACAACTTGGAAATAGAATGCTGCAAACCCAGAAGTAGGTGTTTCGGTTTGTGAACTTTGCCTTGGAAGCTGAACATGTTCCATTTTCTGTAGAGTGTGTTCCATTTGTAAATTGAGTCCCCCCTGCTAATCAGAGGCTTCCTGTTGAGTCTGTCGGCTGTTGAGTCCTGAGCACCCACGCAACACAGAAGTGATATATGGAGCTTTTGGTTTTTTTTTTTCATTTTTGTTTGTGTGGCTTTTTCGTTTTTGTGACTGTGACTTGTTCTTCGTTTTATGGGACTAACTTGTGACTGTGGCTTGTGACTTCGTTTTTGTGACTGTGTGGAACCCAGTTCAGCTACTGATGGATTGGTTGTGTGACTGCAGAAATGGATAAAAGCCCCACATCCAAACAAGGACCATCATCACTGCATGTAAGAAAAAAATAATATTATTTTAATTTTTATCATCTACAATACTGTCTTATTTATTTTATAGTACAGTACATTGATTATTGCTTTCATTTTATGGATCAATGGTCTTGTTAGACAGCAAAATTCATGATAAATTGCTGCAATCCATTTTGCATTACTTTCGATGGGACTTGGTTTTAGAAGCTTTGGTTTTGGAACAGACTTCCAGAACGGATTAAGTTTGGGAACCAAGGTACCACTGTACATGGATCTCCTTCTCCTCATTTAATTCTCACAACAACCCTGTGAGGTAGCTTCACTTGAGAGTCAGTCACTGGCCTAAGGTCATGCAGTAAACTTCATGGCTGAGTGGGGATTTGAACCCTGGTCTTGCAGGTCCTATTCCATGTGTAGGCAAACTAAGGCCCGGGGGCCGGATCCGGCCCGGTCACCTTCTAAATCCGGCCCACAGACGGTCCAGGAATCAGCATGTTTTTACATGAGTAGAATGTGTGCTTTTATTTAAAATGCATCTCTGGGTTATTTGTGGGGCATAGGAATTAGTTCATTATTTTCTTTCAAAATATAGTCCGGCCCCCCACAAGGTCTGAGGGACAGTGGACCAGCCCCCTGCTGAAAAAGTTTGCTGTCCCCTGTGGACCTATTCGAGCATTCTAACCCAGGGTTCTCCAAACTTGGGTCTCCAGCTATTGTTGGACTACAATTCCCACCATTCCTGACCCCCTGGTCCTGATAGCTAGGAATGATGGGAGTTATAGTCCAAAATCAGAGGGAGACTCAAGTTTGGGAAACCCTGCTTCAGCTGCTACGACACTGACTTTCAGAGGATTAAAGGTAAAGGGACCCCTGACCATTAGGTCCAGTTGTGGCCGACTCTGGGGTTGCGGCACTCATCTCGCTTTACTGGCCGAGGGAGCCGGTGTACAGCTTCTGGGTCATGTGGCCAGCATGACTAAGCCACTTCTGGCAAACCAGAGCAGTGCATGGAAATGCCGTTTATCTTCCCACCAGAGCGGTACCTATTTATCTACTTGTACTTGACATGCTTTCGAACTGCTGGAGCAGGAGCAGGGACCGAGCAATGGGAGCTCACCCCATCGCAGGGATTTGAACTGCCGACCTTCTGATTGGCAAATCCTAGGCTCAGTGGTTTAACCCACAGTGCCACCCACATCCCACTTTTAGAGGATTAAATCTCCTTTATTTCTCCTTGTGACATCCTGATCCAGTCTGGGCTCCTAAACCTGGTTTTTGTTTAATATTCCTTTTTTTAAAAAATCATTCGTGCAATCGCTAATTGTAAGAATGGCATCTCATCTATGCAAACAGGTTGGAAACGCCTGGCAAATGGATTCTCTTCCTATCAGAAGGTTCAGGAGAGGTCCCACGTCTCCTGTTTCAAAGAAAGGCCTGGTCACTTTGTTACCTGAAACCAAGTCATCCAGACCTGCGAGCGGCTTTGGTCCTCTTTCATTCTCACAGGAACTGCATGGCATGAGATAAGGTTGTGCGGTCAGCAGTATCTCCCTCCAGTGGCAAGCTTCCAAGTCATGACAGCACGCCGGTTTCTGACTTATCTGGCTCCACAGCCTCTCGCGGTACAATGGAGCCAGTCACAAAAGCGATGTGTGGATAACCTTTCCTCTCACACACGGCCAGCCCACCTTGGTATGTGAGGAATGGGCAAGATAAAATTCGCAGGGAGTTGGGGAGGGGTAAGCTTTGAAGAGGACGCCAGGAGGAGGATGTCTGTGAACATATCATAACTCATCAGACGATCAAATGGGTTTTTTCCCCTTACAGAAGGAGCACTCAGCTCAGTAAAAGGATTTTCTGATAAGCCCCTCTAACTACTCTAAGAGCCAAATCCACTCTCTGGCAATCCAGGTTCTGCATCAAGGAAGGGCCGCTGAATTCTGGAACCGGTACACGCTGTGCAAATGGAGTCGATCTGTGTGGCGTTGCCTCATTTTGTGCGCACATTTCTACCGTCTTTGCATCATTTCTCATGTGCAAGTCACAAGAATGAGTGAGGCGCTGAACCGCTACTATCCTGAACCCCTTCACAGCCACCCACCTGTGTTTCTGAAATTTTGGCAGCCACCCACTTTACTTTTACAATTGTATAGCTTACTTCAAAAAAGAAAAATGAAAGCTTTGATGCTTAGGAAGAACAAGTTCATCCTAACTGTGTGTACATTACGATTGTGTTTCCCCTCCATGGTTGAAGTAGGACTATGCAGCATCTAATAATAATACTAATAATAATTTTATTAATAATAGTTTTATTGTTTATACCCTGCTCCTCTGACTGGGTTTCCCCAGTCATTCTGCGTGGCTTACAGCATGTATAAAAAATTGTAAAACACCAGACATTAAAAATTTACTGATACAGGGTTGTCTTCAGATGTCTTCTAAAAGTCAGATACAGCCATACCTCATGTGACGTCTGCTTCATGTTACGTTCTTTCAGGTTACGTTCCGCGGTGACCCGGAAGTACCGGAAAGGGTTACTTCCGGGTTTTGCTGCTTGCGCATGCGCAGACGCACAAAATGACGTCACACGCATGCGCAGAAGTGGTGAATCGCAACCCGTGCGTGCGCAGACGCGCCGCTGCAGGTTGTGTTCCTTTCCTGTTGCGAACGGGCATCCGGAACAAATCCCATTCGCAACCAGAGGTACCACTGTAGTTGTTTATTTCTTTTATATTATATGTAAGAATAATAATACTAATAATAATAATAATAATAATAATAATAGATTTCTTATATCCTACCCATCTGACTGGGTTGGCCCAGCCACTCTGGGCGGCTACCAACAAAAATACAGAGGGAAGGTGGATAGGGGGAACCACCAAGGATTAAAAGCATGAAGGACATTCTTTTTCCACCCAGAGGATGGCGGAAGGCACAAGGGCTGGCATTTGAATTGGGTGCAGAGTGGAAGGGGGAAGACTAGCCAAGAGGACCCCATGAATGCAAGGCGGAGGTGAAAGGCACAACCAACCATCCCACACCTTGCTTATGAGCACTTATCTGCCTGTTTATGGACTGGAAAACCATTTTAATGTACAGTCATACCTCGGGTTACAGACACTTCAGGAAGTGTTTTTTGGGGTTGCAGACTGCTAAAACCCAGAAGTACCAGAACGGGTTACTTCCGGGTTTCGGTGGTTGTGCATGCACAGAAGCGCTAAATCGCACTTTGCGCATGTGCAGAAGCAGCGAATCGCAACCCACACTTGCACAGACACACAGATGCGGGTTGCGAACGTGTATCCCGCACGGATCACGTTCACAACCCGAGCGTCCACTGTATTTTTAATCTTTGTTGGAAGCTGCCCAGAGTGGCTGGGGAAACCCAGCCAGATGGGCGAGGTACAAATAATTATTATTATTATTATTATTATTATTATTATTATCTGACACAAGCCCCATTGAAAGGGACAAGAGTTGTGAAGGAGCAACTTGTGCCTTTGCAGAGTTTTCAGTTTGTTTTCGTGGGACTCACGCTGGGAAATGGCAGGTGGCACATAGATAATAATATTAATAACATCTCGTGCATTCTACTACACTCTGTTTTTTTCTTTCTGGGAAATGACCCTGCTCAGGAATCAAGAAACCCAGTGATAATATTGAAGGTTATGAGATTTTGCAGTTAGCAACTCTTTATCTCTTCAGGAAATAATCATGGTCTTTCCTTTCACATTCCCCCCACCGCACCCCTATGCACATCATTATATAATCCTAACCCTAAATTGTTTTTAATATTGTGTTTTAATGCTGCAACATGTACTGGGACCTTAGGGTGAAGGGTGGGTAAAAAATAATTATGATATGATACAATATGATATGATGCAAAGCATATTGTTCTTAGTTTCAATGCTTGCATTTGAATGGGCTGTTTTGTTGAAAGTCGTGACAACCCACACTTTTCATTGTAGATCAGGAATTTGTGTGTGTGTATGGGGGGAGACATTGCTAAATGAAAGAACCTTCATGCCAGAGTACTTTATGCATATATATCACGGCAGTTTATATGCATTGCATCAATCTTTATTTGACGAAGACAGGGAAGTAGCTCAGTGGCAAGAGCACCCTCTACGACTAAGAAAGACTCAAACATTCTTGAGTAGGGTTCTCTATCGCTTGTGGATCTGCAGGTGTTGGTGGACTCCAGTTCCCATCAGCCCCAGCCAGCAGGGCTAATGGACAGGGATGATGGGAGGGTTGCAAGTTAGCCATCCCTACCCTAGAGCATCACTGCCAGGTGGTGTAGAGCAGCCCTTACCTAACCTGGTAGCCACCAGATGTTAGGGGCCCCACCCATCTTAGTCAATGGCCTGACCGGTGGCAGACCTTTGGGCACCTCAAATTTCAGTGGCAGCCTGTGCAACACCAAAATCCAACAAACCCCCTCCCCACCTTCTGTTGGATGTCATAGTTGTGGTGCAGTCCCCCAGAAGCTCCACATCCGGTGCGACCATACCAGTTGCGCTCCCCTAGATCCGTCTTTGGTCTGACTCTGTACAGCTCTGCTTCCTTGGTTCCTCAGTTTCTGGAGCTGAAAAAGTTGGGAGAAATGGCAAGACAGGGGGAGCGGCCAAGTAGCTACTGGGCTAAGTTCAAGATGCTCGTTTTGGTATATAGCGTCCGATGAAGTTTGGGACCTGGAAGCCTGAAAAATCATCTCACACCTTATATACCCAATTGATCATTGCACTGTGCAGGTGAGGACCTCCTTATCATACCATCTTATGAGGCCCATTTAAGAATTTAAGAATCGGGCCCTTCATGTTGTGGCACTTATACTTTGGAATTCCCACCCCTCGAATATGAGACAGGCACGGCCTCTGAAATATACTTGGAGTCGAGTGTGAATTTCATGCTCTTTATTCAGCTCGTAGTAGCAATGAATGACTCTTTCCCCAAAACGTTTAGCTATATATACATTAGTTACACATTGGTCCCGCGTGATTGGCTAATTCCAGGCTGCTCCTGTAGGCCAATCAGGTTGCAGATTCACTTCCTCCAGAAGCCTGATTGGCTGCTCCTGCAGGCCAATCAGGTCGCTAATTCACTTCCACCTGGAGCTGGATTGGGTGGCTCCTGTGGACCACTCAGACTGCTGCATTCTGGAACCTATTGTTCTAGGATTCAGCTCAGTAAATCAGTGTTTCCCAACCGGTGTTCCGCGGCACACTAGTGTGCCGCCAGACGTTGCCTGGTGTGCCGCGGGAAAAATTGGCGGGGGGGGGGAATAAAGGGGAAAAAATTATTCCCCCACCGCCAGGCGTGGGGCTGGGGCGGGGGAAGCCCGAGCTTCCCCCTCCCCCAGAACGGGACCCAGAGCCATGCTGAAGCTGCGCGCAGCTTTGGCATCGCTCTGGGAGCTTGCGGGGCTGGGGGAGGAGGAAGCCCTCTGCCAGCCTCCAAACCATGTCGGGAGACAGCGGGATGGCGCGCTGCGCCTCTCCCGCTGTCCCCCGAGTTTGCAGGGCTGGCGATGGGGAGGAGCAGGCTTCTCCCCCCGCCAGCCTTCCAGCCAAGTCGGGGGGCAGCGGCAAGGGCGCGCTGTGCCTCTCCCGCTGTCCCCCGAGTTTGCAGGGCTGGCGATGGGGAGGAGCAGGCTTCTCCCCCCGCCAGCATTCCAGCCAAGTCGGGGGGCAGCGGCAAGGGCGCGCTGCGCCTCTCCCGCTGTCCCCCGAGTTTGCAGGGCTGGCGATGGGGAGGAGCAGGCTTCTCCCCCCGCCAGCCTTCCAGCCAAGTCGGGGGGCAGCGGCAAGGGCGCGCTGCGCCTCTCCCGCTGTCCCCCGAGTTTGCAGGGCTGGCGATGGGGAGGAGCAGGCTTCTCCCCCCGCCAGCCTTCCAGCCAAGTCGGGGGGCAGCGGCAAGGGCGCGCTGCGCCTCTCCCGCTGTCCCCCGAGTTTGCAGGGCTGGCGATGGGGAGGAGCAGGCTTCTCCCCCCGCCAGCCTTCCAGCCAAGTCGGGGGGCAGCGGCAAGGGCGCGCTGCGCCTCTCCCGCTGTCCCCCGAGTTTGCAGGGCTGGCGATGGGGAGGAGCAGGCTTCTCCCCCGCCAGCCTTCCAGCCAAGTCGGGGGGCAGCGGCAAGGGCGCGCTGCGCCTCTCCCGCTGTCCCCCGAGTTTGCAGGGCTGGCGATGGGGAGGAGCAGGCTTCTCCCCCCGCCAGCCTTCCAGCCAAGTCGGGGGGCAGCGGCAAGGGCGCGCTGTGCCTCTCCCGCTGTCCCCCGAGTTTGCGGGGCTGGCGATGGGGACAGTGGCGTAGCGTGGGGGGTGCCAAGGGTGCCGGCCGCACCGGGCGCAACATCTGGGGAAGCGCGAGTCCAGAGGGAAGGGAAGGGACAAGTTCCTTCCTCCGCCGGGCTCCCCGCCACTGCCAGCCTTGCGCCCTAGCGCGCGCGCGCCCCCCGCCACCGCCGCGGCTGCGCTCCACTCACTGCTCGCAGGAGGAGCAGCTGTTGCAGCAGTGCCGACGCCGCCACCGACGCCTGGCCGGGCACGGGCAGCCTCTGCACCCCGACGCGCCGCCATCCCCTCGGCCCAGCCCCAGGCGGCGGCTGCTTCTGCCGACTGGGAGGGAGGAGAGCTCCGAGGGGCCTCGCCGCGCGCTCCCCAAAAACCTCCGAGAGGAAGCCGGTGGGCGGGCGAGGCCCGGCTAAGCCTCTCGCCAGCGGGTTAAGGGGCTTTCGGTTTTAAAAGGATTAGCTTGGGAAGGAGCGGGGGGGGGGGCTGCTCGCCGGCAAGCGCCTGCTCCGCATTTCCAAAGGCGCTCGCCATCCGAGGGACAGGGAGCGCTTGCAAGGAACGGGCTCCGTGGAGCAGGAGTTAGGAAGAGATCCCTTCCCTGGCAGGCCGCCGGCTTCGCCAGCTGTTTCCCATTCACGATCAGGAGGAACTTCAGGCTGCTTTCAGCTTTGGTAGAGGGAATCTAAGCAAGGGGATGGAGCCGGTGCCCTGAGGAAAGGCGGCAGCATTGGGTTTTTTAGTTTAGAGAAAAGGCAAGCAAGAGGCGACAGGAGAGAAGCCTGCAAAACTAGGCATGGCAAGGAGAGAGTGGACAGAGAGGAAAGTTTTTATCCCTCTCTCCGTACAATATAACTCGTGGGCATCCAGTGAAGCTGAACGTTGGAACAGTGGCGTAGCGTGGGGGGTGCCAAGGGTGCCGGCCGCACCAGGCGCAACATAGCTTGCCTGCAATGCCATCCCTCGAGCAGGCGAGGAGCCCGGAGGCTACCAGATGCGAGTCCTCTTTCCCACCCTGCTCGGGAGTCCAGAGCACTTGGTCGCATTCAGGATCTAGAGTGGGGAAGCGGGGCTTGTGTCTGGGCTGGACACATTGGGCTGCCTGTGCCGCTCGACCTGCGGGGAGAAATC